CCTGTGAAGGAACAAATTCAGAATCTCTTTTCTCTAATGACTACATTTTGCAAACTTTACAGTTCTTCTCAAAAGCATTTGCACTGAAGCGATGCAAAAGACTTTTCAAAATAAAATGAAAAGTGGATGTTTAGAAAAGGTCTCAGGTTCAAGTTTTAATTCTGTAAAAATATGCAAAACGAATACAGTCACTTAAGCAGGTATTTTAAAATGTTGAACAGATAGGATACAAAATAAAATATCATTCAGCACTAGTTTGAGCATAATGACAGCTTAAAGCTGAACTCCAGAATAGACCATTAGTGTGTAAATACAAGAGTCATATGCATTCTTCATTGAATCTTGGTGTGCTTTGTGTATTTCTTCCAGATCTATGCAGTACTAGAGCGAGAAACATTTCCTCTGTGCAGGAGCTTCCTATAATAAAGACTGGTCACTGCAGATCTCTCTCCTTCTGCATTGACTCGTCTTGTCTCCACCCCCTCCTGTAGTTTTCTACAGGCAGCCTGTAGTGGGTGTGCTTTCTGGGTCCCTCTCACAGCTCTGCACTCTGCGCAGGCTATATACAGTGCAGTGATGTCACTGCTACTTTTATAAGGTAATAGCTGGATATTTAAATTAATGTAAAATGTTAAAATAATAAATAAATATCAGTGGGGCATTAAAGTATAAAGATGAATGCAGTAGGACATAAAAGAGTGTAGTAGTGCTGTAGAAATGGCAAATTTTCAGTGCTGAGTGATAATAGACCTTTACCATAAGCGTTTCTGCAGCGTTTCGCATTCCATTAAACATGTTTTCCTATGGGACATGTTCACACCTGTACGGTTTCACCTGGTGCATTTTTTGGAAAGGGTCAGGGACTTTTTTTTAAATCAAAAAGTAGTGTTTTTGCTTCTAAAGACTTCAATGGAAACACTGCAGAAAAGCATGTTTTGCATTTTTTGCTGCGTTTAAGGTGTTTTTTTTTTTTGCCATGTTTTTGATGTGTTGTTGCGTTTTGCATTTTAAATCTGCCTAGCAACAAGAAAAATGAAAAAAAAGAAAGAAAAAAAAATGCAAAACGCATCAGCTCGCATAAGAAATGCAAGTGCAAAAACACAAAATGCAACACAATGCAAAAACAGCTCAAATGCAACCTGCATAGGTGTTAACCTAGCGTAAAACGGTAGTCTTTAAAAATTAAGTCTATCTTTTCCCATGCTATGTCACAGTAGGGGGCACTAATGTACACTGTGGGCTATATACAAATGTATGTGGATTGAGTGTCTAAATTATTTTCTGTGTCCCAGCTGGGGACATTCTATCTACTTTCTGTTCTGGTAAAAACAGCAGAAAATACGTAAATACTTCCACCCATTTACTACTCTATCTATATCTCAAAATATATTGGAGTTTTATTTTATTTAAAGACTAACTCCAGCCAGCACATTTTTCTTTAATTCTAAATGAAGCAGGGAAGGGTTGGGACCTCTGTCAAGTTTTTGGTTTTTTTTTTCTATCTGTCTTAAACTGGCCATACATGAATCAAAATTTGACTGGTTCAGCAGGGACTAGCTGAATTTTTATTCATGTATGGGCATTGTGATTGTACAGAAGTCAATCTAATGATTTCTGTTCAACGACCCTGTTGAATTCTCCCCACCCAAAATGTGGGTGGAAAGTTTCCGTGCATATTTAGAGAGGCCCAAAAAAGGTAGACCCAGCAAAAAGTAAATGGGCTCAAAAGGAACAGGAGCCCACAAAAGTAAATGCAATAGGGTAAGGACCTCTCTCCAAAGGGTGCAATGGACCAGCAATCCCAAAGAATCAGGGCTAGAAACAAAGATATCAACAAGTATATACATCCGGGGAAGGGGAAGTATCCCGGGACGTCGAGGCCTAAGGCCTGACATTCAAGGAGGTGACATGGCAACTGGCCCATCGTGACAGATGCCTACCTCAGTAAAATGCAAAATGGTTATAGTCAAGACATACCAACACAAAAATTGAAAATGCACACGAGATAAAAAGGAGCCTAAATAACAAAAAAGGAAACCCTCTAAATAAGACCATGAGGTGGCAGAGCTCATCAAAAACCAGGAAGTCTTGGATGCTGAGGAGTGCGAGGGAAATGTTTCCTTCCAGGTTTAGCTGGTGTCCAGATCTCACGTGGGGTGGTGGAGGATCCGGATGGGGCTGGAGGTAGCGGAGGTGTCTCGTCCAGCAGGAGAGGGAGCCCCAGCTGTCTGAAAAAAGAGTCTGCTTCATACAAGTCACAGAGAGTGACTTGGGTGTCATCCCTGGAGACCACAAGCTTAAAGAGGAACCCCCACTGGTAGGGAACATAATGCTGTTGGAGATGAAAAGTGACTGACTTCAGGACCCGACGTTTCGCCAGGGTGATAGGAGATAAGTCGCTGAAGATTTGGAGTCTCTCTCTCTTGAATTTCATAGAGCGCTTGTTACGAGAAGAGTAGAGCAGGGCTTCTTTACAATCAAAGTAGTGAAAACGTACAATAACGTCCATGGGCCTGGTGCCCTCAGAGGGTTTCAGACCTAATGACCTATGAGCCCAATCTAACTGCCAATCACCCTCTGGGACCCTAGGAGCTAGAGTGGTGAATAGGGACAACAGATAGCGTTGGAGTTGAGAATCAGATTCAGCTATGCTGCGAATACGAATTCTAGGTCCTCCTGTTGAAGCTGTAATTGGGACACAGGTTGGGTTATCCTCCTCCAGAACATGGACATATTGTACCAGTTCATCAAATTTGATCTCAAGGTGGTCTGTGTGGTCTCCTATCTGAGTGATCTCCCCCCTAAGCTCCTGGGCCAATTTCCCAACTGCAGCAGAGATAGTGGCAGGAATATTACGCAGAAATACTTGCAGTTTGTCTTCTAAGGTGTCCATCATCAGAGCTGGGGTCATTGGCGCGGATTCTGAAGCTGCAGGGGGGGGTTGGTGTCCATCCTATCCATCTCAGCAGGTCTCCTGAAGGGCTCGCCGGGGCTGCCACCGCTACTCGAGGACAGGGATGTGGGCCTAGTGAAGAAGCAGTCCAGCACCGAGGCCCGAGGGCCTGGAGGAGGCGGTGTGGGTGGCTCCCAATGCCCGACTGTTCCCATGGGGATGCAGAGGTGTATGGTGACCTGGGAAAAGGTGCTCCCGGAGCTCTAGATGTGGCAGAAGAAGCAGATCGATCGGAAGGGCCGGTAAGTCCGAGGATCACTGGAGCTACGGTATTAGGTGGCCGCCATCTTGGACCGCTGCACATGCGCCCGCACTCTCCAGTTTTAGTAAATCAACTCTATGATACTGGTCTGCTGATGTAGATGAGTAGATAAGTGAATCACCCTTATTTTATTGCACTTACAAAGAGCCATTCAGGCTTCAGCCAAGAACAGAAAGGGCTCAAGGATACAGATGTTTTGTATATGTGTTTTTCCCCTGGATGCTGGTAATTGTACGTAGATCTGTCTATAGACACATTTTTTATATGCATTTATAAACATCCTTTTTTTTCTTTGCAAGTTAGATTTTTTAAACACAGAAGATGCTAGGGTCAAGGAGACTGAAAATACAGGTAAAAAAACAAGGCAAAAAGCAATGAAACAGTGTTTATGCACCCAAGAGAGTAACAATTTATTTGTGTAACAAATTAAACATGTCAGTGGGTGTAAACATTACGTTGTGGGCTTACAGCTCACTTTGCAATACAGTTCTCTAATCAAAGACGGATGTTCCAGAACAGAATTAGGAAGATGGATACATGAAGTAGTTTGTTTCCTAAGGGATCCTGCTGCTGTGGCTTGGACTGTTTCTGCTAGTATTCTGGCAAAGATTTGCACCTCATATTAACTATGTTATTAATTTCCTTACAAAATGTATGTAATGGGAAAAAGTGTTCCTAGTTTTTAATTGAATGTGTAAGGGTTAAACTTTCAGTAAATTTTTACTAGTGTCTGTGAGCCCAGTGGGGCAATTGACCCTTTTTATCCTGCTAACCATTGTCATGAGACAAAAAGTGAGAATACACCAAAGTTTTAGAGCTGTCATAACAAGAAGTGAAAGGAAATCCTAACTTTTTCAAATTGTAGCACACAAGGCAACTACCCTGTGACCTCAAACAAACAAAAGTCCAGGTCACACACACCACTGCATTTCTTTCTTAACCACTTTCCGTCTAGCCCATGTACATAAACATCTGGGCTGTAAGCATGCCAATGCTTGTGCGCAGCTCCTAGAGCCCAGTAATCGCTGTGCTGTGTCTCAGCTAATTAATTTTGCCCAGGGCTTTATCATAGGGACAAGTGAATCAGAAAGGGTGGAGTCATACACTCTTTAGGTGCCCATAATGCAATGGTCTTAGAGTTACAACATCTATATATACACCTTATTTTTCGCACCATAAGATGCAAAAGATGCAAAAAATGGGGGAAAATGTCTGTGCGTTGTATGGCGCGAATATGGAGTGGCCACCCCGGTATTCCCCCGGGTTAGAATACCGGTCCAGCCGTTCGGCTCTTCTCTGCAGACCTCCAGCAGTCTTACCTGTTCCTCGGTCCAGCGGTGTCCTCAGTCTTCGCTCCTCGGCGTAAGCATGGGCACCCAGCTGTTGCAGCTTGTGGCTTCACAGGCGAGTGCCCACTGCGCATGCACGAAAAACGCTGCGCTTTGTGAATGACCCTATGATCTTCTGGGACCTGTCACATGTTCCAGAAGATTATGGGGAGGGAGGAGGAAGGACAACTCTGCGGACAACTCCCCCCCCCCCCCGCCACGCTCCCCAAAGGTCCGCAATCTCTGGTCATCTATACTAATCCACCCCCCTATGTCTGCAGTCTCCAAAGGTCCGCAATCTCTCTGGTCATCTCCTAGTCTCTGGTCATCTTGGTCATCTCCTGTACTGTGTCCAGTCTTGGTCATCTCCTCTGTACTGTACTGCAGTCTCTGGTTTGTCTCTGGTCATGTACTAGGTCCGCAGTCTCTGTTCATCTCCTGTACTATGTCCTGCAGTCTCTGGTCATCTCGTGTACTGTGTCCGCAGTCTCTGGTCATCCACTGTACTGTGTCCGCAGTCTCTGGTCATCTCTGTACTGTGTCCACAGTCTCTGGTCATCCCCTGTACTGTGTCTGCAGTCTCTGGTCATCCCCTGTACTGTCCGCAGTCTCTGTCATCTCCTGTACATTGTCCGCAGTCTCTGGTCATCTCCTGTACTATGTCCGCAGACTCTGGTCATCTCCTGTACTGTGTCCGCAGTCTCTGGTCATCTCCTGTACTATCCGCAGTCTGGTCTCCCCTGTACATCTCAGTCTCTAGTCAGGTCCGCAGTCTCTGGTCATCTCCTGTACTGTGTCCGCAGTCTCTGGTCATCCCTGTACTGTGTCCGCAGTCTCTGGTCATCCCCTGTACTGTCCGCAGTCTCTGGTCATCTCCTGTACTGTGTCCGCAGTCTCTGGTCATCTCCTGTACTGTGTCCGCAGTCTCCCCAAAGGTCCGCAATCTCTGGTCATCTATACTAATCCACAGTCTCTGGTCTTCTGTACTATGTCTGCAGTCTCTGGTCTTCTGTACTATGTCCGCAGTCTCTGTTCATCTCCTGTACTGTGTATTCAGTCTCTGGTCATCTCCTGTACTGTGTCCGCAGTCTCTGGTCATCTTGGTCATCTCCTGTACTGTGTCTGCAGTCTCTGGTCATCTCCTGTACTATGTACGCAGTCTCTGGTCATCTCTTGTACTTTGTCTGAAGTCTCTGGTCATCTCCTGTACTAGGTCCGCAGTCTCTGGTCATCTCCTGTACTATGTCTGCAGTCTCTGGTCATCTCGTGTACTGTGTCCGCAGTCTCTGGTCATCCCCTGTACTGTGTCCGCAGTCTCTGGTCATCCCTGTACTGTGTCCACAGTCTCTGTCATCCCCTGTACTGTGTCTGCAGTCTCTGGTCATCCCCTGTACTGTCCGCAGTCTCTGGTCATCTCCTGTACATTGTCCGCAGTCTCTGGTCATCTCCTGTACTATGTCCGCAGACTCTGGTCATCTCCTGTACTGTGTCCGCAGTCTCTGGTCATCTCCTGTACTGTATCCAGTCTCTGGTCATCCCCTGTACTGTGTCCGCAGTCTCTAGTCATCCCCTGTACTGTGTCCGCAGTCTCTGGTCATCTCCTGTACTGTGTCCGCAGTCTCTGTCATCCCCTGTACTGTGTCCGCAGTCTCTGGTCATCCCCTGTACTGTCCGCAGTCTCTGGTCATCTCCTGTACTGTGTCCGCAGTCTCTGGTCATCTCCTGTACTATGTCCGCAGTCTCTGGTTATCTCCTGTACTATATCCGCAGTCTCTGGTCCTCTCCTGTACTATGTCTGCAATCTCTGGTCATCTCCTGTACTATTTCCACTGTCTCTGGTCATCTCCTGTACTATGTCTGCAGTCTATTTCCGCAGGTCATCTCCTGTACTATGTCTGCAGTCCATTGATTCAGAATTTTTTTTTTTGTACCTGTTTTCCTCCTCTTGAAAGAATTTTTTTTTTCGTTTTCGAGGTGCGTCTTATGGTCAGGTGGGTCTTATGGAGCGAAAAATACGGTAAATGACATAATAAAAATAAAATGTCAAAAAAATGGAAAATAGCATTAATATGTCAAAACCTCCCTATAAAAACAACAACCTTTATATATTCATACCTTATTAAATCAATACATGTCCACAAATATACATTCAAGGTGAAAGCAGCATTACACCAAAATGAGTAGAGCGGGAGAGGGGAAAAATATAATTCATAATAATGGAATACATACTATTAAAACTAAAACTGTATAAAATATGGTTTATTAATGTAAAGATAAAAGAAATCCTCTCTCCTACTCAAGATGGAAAACCTGCCCCCACCTCTATTTTTAACAGTATAGTGACTTGATTCATGACAAAAATACTTGTGCCTAATTTGCTATTCTTCCTAAGACTTGCTGTCTTGCTTCCTACCAATGAGGCTCCATGCAAGCCTATAGTACAGCTGTATAGAACAGTCTAAAGTTGGCCATACATGGTTTGAAATTCAGCCAGTTCAGCAGGAATCAATACATGTATGGACACCCTGGTTGTACACAAAAGTCGATCTATCGACAACCAGCCTGTTGAGCTATAGCTGGGAACACTATTCATTGTGTTCTGCTGGAAGGGAAGGGACCCCACTGGCAGAACACAGTAGTGCTGTGGGAGGGACTGACAGTGTTCCTGAGAATCTAGCAATTTTCTTTCCTTGCACCCATGGTGGAAGGAAGGAAGATTGCATAATATATGGCCTACCTTAGAATTAGAAGGCCTGCCTTTGTCACATTGTCCAAGAAATACATTCACATGAAAATCCATATAGTCCTTGTTTTCGGAAACATCTCTCGTATGCTTCCTGATAATCATCATTATGAAATTTAGCCTAGTTCAAAATGCTGCCAGTTTTAATTACTTCAAGCTAGACTCCATGCACACTAGGTGTTTTAATAACGCTGGTAACGTTAGCTGTGTAAAGTCACCTTAAAAACATGAGTTTTTTTTCAGCATTTTTTAGCGGTTTTGCATTAGCGTTTAGCCACTTTTTTGCATTTTATTTTTTTTTTTAGCTTTTTTTTGCTACAAAAATATCCAAAATGCCGGTTTGCGGTGATTTACTTTGTTTTGCTGGGTTTTTACAGCTAAAAACTCCTCTAGAAACCCACTAGTTCTGGGGTTTTTTTTCCAGACAAAAAACGGCCCTGCCAAAAAAATGCTGATTACAGTCTATGTGTGCACAGACACATAGGATAACATGCTGGGGAGTTTACTGGCTACAGAAAAAAACCTCAAAAGCCAAAAACAGCAGCTGTAAAAACGTCCAGTGTGCATGAGGATTAAGCTTGTATAATCAATGTAAAGGGTATGAGCATTCAAGAAACTAATGTTATGTAGATAATAATGAAAGAGTTCACATATTTGTTTTCTTAAAATTAAAGAAGAAAAAACTTGCTGAACTGAGTCCAACACATCAGGCAGTAGATTGGAGATTATCAACAATACTGCTGGCCAGAAATCTCCATGATCATTTTAGAATCCAATGGATTGATTTGGTTATCTCTGTTCAAGACAAGGTCATCAATAGAGGATATTTAGAAAAAGAATCCCCACTGGAGACCAGGAATTAAACTAATGTAATTAGTGGTGAAGCTTTGTCCATCAGGGACTTAAACAGTGATGGGTAGACAATCACTTATCTTGATGGTCTAATGTCTGCAAATCCTTTAATAGGATTCTCCAGTGGGTTCAGTTATTGCCAGGTTAGTGGAACATTATTAGATTTTTATTTATAAGATTCTGATTTTTTTTTTTGTAGGAATTAAAAGATATGTCAATATTGGTCAGATTTAGTGTTGACTGATAGCTAGCTTACGGCTGAGGGATTTTTTCTGTGCTGATAACAGTTTGCTTCTTAGTCCTGACACAGCAGGCAAGGTGTACTGCGCTTTCCAAGGCCTTTCAGTGTCAAGGTTGCTTTCAAATATGTTCTATGTACATATCATAAACAGTTCTTTAAATGAAGATCCTCTAATAACAAGCACATTTCGTGTAGGATCAGCATCATTTTATATGAGCCTAATTTTAGTCTTCCTCAGTTAGATTGAAGTTTTATGTTTTTTTAATAAATCGTTTAGTAAGAAGAGCTCTACTCCATTTCTGATAATTTAGAAATGTTCATATCACTCCCAGGTTTATGACTTAATGGAGACCTAGGGAAATACATTAGGCTGCCAATTGCAATAAACTGCAAAGTTGTTAATAATCATGCCTGCATTCAGAAACATCAGACGTAACACAATATCATTTCACAGCCAATGTCTACATGAAATATAGGTCCATGGAGACAGAGTTTCAGGCTGAATGTTTGGGGCATTATCTGCACCATTCTGTGTCTCTGAAGCCAAAGAGCCATATAGACTGCAAATGCCTTAAAGTAGATCTATTTATTGGGATTGAAAAGGGTATACACTGTTGGCCTTATTCGAACAGTGACAAGAGCTAATCATTATGTATATAATGGGGTAACCCATAGAAAACAATCTACATTTTCTTTATTGTATAACCGCCCCTTGGTGCTTAGGTTTTTAGGCAAAGTATCTAAGTTTTTAAGCCTACATGTGATAACATCTTGGCCTTCTTGGCCTATGAGAGGGAGTCTCTTTTTAAAAATGACAAGGCTGTTTTTATAGAAACCTTGGTGACTACTACACAGAGTTCTGCTGAAATAAACTGTTCACATAGTTGTCGCAGTGTGGAAAGGGAACATAGTGATATATTGCTAAGCAAGGCAGATAGACAACACACTGGCTGGTCACTGCTAGGTTAATGTGACACTTTTTTTTTTTACATAATATGTATAGTCTACTTCCTAGAAAATACACCTTTCTTTGTTTCTTGGCCAATCTTCAAACTGCTGCTCCTGCCTCCTATCGCTGGCTGGCTGCTGAGAGACAGCCATGCATGCACACTCCCCAGCTGGAGCTGTGTTCCAGCACACATCTGACAAACCATGCCCTTGCTATCTCCTCGCATAGAGCCTCAGGAGTCTATCACTCCCCTACACTTACTGCATCCTATACTACCCAGAATGTTGGGGGTCAGTGTAGATCATGGAGGATCCAGCAGCAGTAAAAAGGCACAGAAAGTAACTGTTTGGGGATGTGGGAGGGAGTTTAAATTTGCTTGGGGACTTTGCATTAATGCTGTGAATGCATTAAGGTAAAAAAAAAAACTAAGTCTTTAGTACTACTTTAAAGTTCAACTCTTGGAAAATTAGCAAAATCCGCTTACCAACCCCCTTCCCCACACCATTCTAACTAACTACCAAACACCCATTTTGCTTACCTGAAGACTTGATCATATGATAACCCTGTTCTGTGTTCTTCTTCCTTGGGTCCTTATTCAAGTATATACACCACTGCTTACGTGATGTAGACAGCCATCACCTCCATTGGATAGGTCCTCTTTCAGATTCCAGAGGCAGGAGAACAAATGGCAGAAAAATGCCTGGTCCCCAGGGTTAAAAATTAGCTTGGCTAGAAGGAAATTGTGACTTTTATCCGTTGCACTGCAGGATTGCCTAGGAAGTGTCTTTCTTAAGACTGAGGAGTGTTATAAATAATGCAAATTATTTCATTTGCATTTGTGCTTGGAATTGGGCTTTAAGGATGCTGTCCTATAACTAATAAAGTAATTGATGTATTTCAACACTACCTAAAGTATTACTGTATATTCTCTTTTTCTTTAATAATTAGACAGAAGGTAAAATAACAAAATACTTACCTAACATGGTGTTGGGCCATCTTTGGCATTCAAGACGGCTTGAATTCTCCTGGGAATTGACAAATATAATTCTTGGATGGTGGATAATGCAATCTGATACCACTGTCCTCCAAAATTGACCATAGTGGCTGTATAATACTGAGGTCCGGCGACTGTGGCACCCAAGGAAGGTGCGAGACTTCGCCTGCATGCTTGTCAAACCACGATTTGACAACACCAGCTGTGTGAATCGGAGCATTATCACCTTGCTAAATGGAGCTGTCCTAAGGAAACAAAATACAGAATACCAAGATACGGCTGCCCATATGGAGAAGCCGTGGAGAATGTTATGCTGCCTGTAACATCGTTCAGCATGACTGTTTTGGTGGTAGGTCAGTGATGGTCTGGGGAGGCATATCCATGGAGAGACACACAGACCTCTACAGGCTAGACAATGGCACCCTGACTATCATTAGGAATCGGGATGAAATCCCTAGACCAATTGTCAGACCCCACGCTGGATCAGTGGGTCCTGGGTTCTTTCT